AATTAAATTATCACAACTCAAACAGTAACAGTTTAAATAATAAAGAATGAAACAGTAATAACTTGAATAATAACGAATTAAACAATAACGAGTGAAACCCCTTGACTAGCAGACTGGTTGAGTATAACCACTGCCTTCTCTAAACATACAGTCGATCGTGGGTATAACCACCGCCTTCTCTAAACATACAGTCGATCGTGGGTATAACCACCGCCTTCTCTAAACATACAGTCGATCGTGGGTATAACCACCGCCTTCTCTAAACATACAGTCGATCGTGGGTATAACCACCGCCTTCTCTAAACATACAGTCGATCGTGGGTAAAACCACCACCTTCTCTAAACATACAGTCGATCGTGGGTATAACCACCACCTTCTCTAAACATACAGTCGATCGTGGGTATAACCACCGCCTTCTCAGTAAATTATGCCTTTAATACATTTCGGTATCATAGTTGTATGGAAGACAAGATAGTCCGTCCACTTGTTTTCCCCCAAGAGTCGTGGCCCTCAACCTTTCTGATGCGGTAACACTTTAATACAGTCGATCGTGGGTATAACCACCGCCTTCTCTAAACATACAGTCGATCGTGGGTATAACCACCGCCTTCTCTAAACATACAGTCGATCGTGGGTATAACCACCGCCTTCTCTAAACATACAGTCGATCGTGGGTATAACCACCGCCTTCTCTAAACATACAGTCGATCGTGGGTATAAACACCACCTTCTCTAAACATACAGTCGATCGTGGGTATAACCACCGCCTTCTCTAAACATACAGTCGATCGTGGGTATAACCACCGCCTTCTCTAAACATACAGTCGATCGTGGGTATAACCACCGCCTTCTCTAAACATACAGTCGATCGTGGGTATAACCACCGCCTTCTCTAAACATACAGTCGATCGTGGGTATAACCACCACCTTCTCTAAACATACAGTCGATCGTGGGTATAACCACCGCCTTCTCTAAACATACAGTCGATCGTGGGTATAACCACCGCCTTCTCTAAATATACAGTCGATCGTGGGTATAACCACCGCCTTCTCTAAACATACAGTCGATCGTGGGTATAACTAAACGTGATGCCAGAGATGCCTTTCAACGGCCTTCCGCGTATTGGATATATAGCTTATTAAAGTAAAGGACACTTCCGCGCCTTCAGGCTTATTGGGCCTTTAGGACTCGACCAATACTTTACAGACCAATCGGCAATTAGTAGTTGCTGTGGTCAGCAGCATCACGCTGGCTACCTTTACTTCCCAGGACTGTACCTGGCAGCCACTCATGGCTGGATTGACGAACGAACGAACGAACAAACTTTATTTTCAAAGGGTTACAAATTGGACACGCAGGCGCGTCTGACATTCGGAGCCAAGGGGTATATAGTGTTAGACCTATATTTTATATAGCAATAAAGTAACCACTAACAGAAACTAAAATGCCTGAATGTTTAAATGACTCGTTAGATTTTACGTCTGGACATTTAAACAAATAAAATGAGCTTGCATTTAATATATTCATGATCGTTTTCTGGTCCATCATTATCTCAACAAGGTTAGTTGCGTATCCTTTACAGGATGTTGCAGAACCAACCCCAGCAGCCCCCGGCTGTTGTGTGGTTTCTCTAGGCAAATTTACATCCAGTAGTTTGCCATTGCTCTCTGGACGGTCGGCCCCCAGATACCACTGTCGAAACCTACGCAAAGCGCATGGCCCGCGACAGGGATCGAATCCGGCACCCCGGCATTACGAAACGTTCGCATCGACTTAGCCACAGAGCCGACTTATCTTAACAACAACAACAAATAAAGCCGGTTCGGCAAGTTGCCACCTTCTGCCCTAAGCCAGTTTTTCAGCGTCGTATTGTGGTGCTGTCGAAATGGATGTTTCTTGAAGAAAGAAGAGAAAACCTGATAATTTATTGAGCTTTTTTTTTTTTTAGCTTCTTTCTTTCTTTATTAAATTGACTGATTCACTAAGGGTCAAAGATTTGTAGACTGTATTCTGCGAAAATTGTGCTTCCTACTTGACAATTTTTTTTCCCTAAAGAAAAGCTGTTTTCTACAGAATCGACAGCGATTTGTTAGAGCGACTAAATTATATCTGAGTTCGATGATTTTAGAATTTCCGTCAAGGAAGTAAATTATGCCTTTAATACATTTCGGTATCATAGTTGTATGGAAGACAAGATAGTCCGCCCACTTGTTTTCCCCCAAGAGTCGTGGCCCTCAACCTTCCTGATGCGGCGACCTTTTAATACAGTTCCTCATGTTTTGGTGACCCCAACCATACAATTATTTTCGCTGTTACTTCGTAACTTCATTGAATATGTGTTTTCCGATGGTCTTATGCGACCTCTGTGAAAGGGTCGTTTGACCTATTAAAAAAAAAACGGGTCGCCACCCACAGGTTGAGAATCTCTGCTGTAGAAAGTCATAATTCTGTTGACGGTTCACCAAAATACCATTGCACTTTCTCCTGTTATCATCGGCTGCTGCCAAAACCTCACTCTTCATTATTACGCGCTTTTAAGATTCCTTCAAGAAAGGTATATTTTAGTGCCGGACGATTGAAATCATAGAAATCTTTGAAGCCAAGTTTATTTCAAACAAAGAACATCCTCACTTAAACTGTCTTCAGATTTTTTTTCTTCAAAGAAATTTTTCTTTTCATCCGCGGAATACTAAATTATACGACTGGTAAACATAGCTGAGTTTATAACGCCACTAAACGTATCGATTTTACCATTTTTTCCCCCGGCCTGGATCCTTCTGAATTCTCATCTTTTAATGTATTGGCAATTAATCTCCCTTCGAATCTCCCACCACAAGAAAGGCCCTCGACTAGGTTGAGTTCCTAGCAGCAAGCCCTCAACCGACGCTCGTGATTTCTTCTGGCCTTACGGAAGCTCGAATGGAATCTACTGTCTGTTGGTTTGGCCGTTTCCATGGCGAGGAAGGAGGCCAGAGTTTTCTCTGAGCTGCTCTCACAGGTCGCGCCCTCCGACTAGGGCCGGGAGGCCGTCTCATCAATTGACAAGATGGCATGGGGAGATAACCAGCTTAGTCTGCTTACCAAGGCATTAAGGAGAATTTCAGTAAAATGGAGTTTTCATGTTGGCGGCGTAGAATCCCATCTTGGTCCCAGGTAGTTAATCATTGCTTGATGTGCAAACTAGCTCGCCGGTGTTTTATAAGACAGGGGCCGGGGGGTAGTGCCCTGCACTTGATCATGCACGTTCGTTCGCTTGTTTGTATATCCTTATTATACAGAATGTGATAAAGAACAGACCAGTGAATTCACGAAATAAAATAAAAAATAAAAAAAGAGGCATTAAATAGCCGGGATTGAAACAAAATGCTGTTGAAGAAAAAATTTTCAACAAACATTGTTAAGCCTAAACCGGATGGGAATTGTGTGGGTGGAGAACTCAAGATCTGGAACAAGAATAAAGTCCAGTAATGGACCAGCAACCAGAACTTTCCGCTTAAGTTTTGCAGCAGGTGATCAACAAGAAGAGGATCAACCAAAAAATGTTTGTTCCTTCCGATCCCATAGGATTGCATTTTCTTCCCAGATCCAAACCCTGTCGTACCTCACAAGTAGTATAGATATTGAACAGTCATAAACTGATCTTTGAACGGCCATTCCAGGCCGCTTGTGCGCTGGATTTACTACCCCATTTGCTGTTTAGTAACACAATTGCTATTATCCACACTCGGCATCGTAATGTTGTATATATTTAGCACATTAAAAGCGTTTCTTTAGAGGGCTGTATAATTGTTATCTCTGCTTTTGACAGATCTTTGGCACCCCCATTTCAATACACCTATGGAGCTATTTTTTTAGCTTCGGGGTTCCTCTGTAACAGTCTCTCTCTTTCTCCCCCCCCCTCTCTCTCTCTCTCTCTCTCTCTCTCTCTCTCTTTCTCCCCCCCCCTCTCTCTCTCTCTCTCTCTCTCTCTCTCTCTCTCTCTCGTTGTTTTATTCTCACTTAATCTGGTAAAATATACAGAAATGTCAGAATTAGTGGTACGTTTTGGAGGGGTGCCCGAAACATGTTGCACTTTAATATGGGGACATCAAGGCACATACCTACAGATTTTTGATCTGTAGCCTTCTTTGTGTAGTCACTCCACACAATCGGTCCTTTCTCCAATATCTTTGCCTTTTGAAGAATTCTTTCCTCTGGACACAGAGTGACGTTTGCAGTTCAGTTATAAGGTCCTGATGGCTGGGAAGAAAATGTCTATGAAGCAGATTCGTCATTCATGGGAAAAGTAACTGCTTTCTGTTTTGTAACATTGCAACCTGTGACAGACGTCCGATACCTACGTCGTTGTTTTTTGTGATATTCCTAGTAGCAATACCTTATGTAGAAAATATTAATGACACTAATTTGTTATGCTAATCTTACAATTGAAGATATTACTGAAACTTGGTATTATATGTCTGACAACGACTCATTGGGGGATATTGAAAACATGAGTTTTTAATAATATTCACGACAGTGGTGGATTGAAGATATCGACAGTTCTTGTTTTCATGATAGTCTGTCAGCTACAGGCTGAAGACGTGCCAGGTCACGCACAAACGTTCCAAGCTGAAGGCGTAGAGCTGCCAGCTGTTTTCTCCCTAGGTCCTAAACTAAGTCTGACAGTTTGTTTAGTGTTTAGCAAGATGACTGACGTGCCAGGTCACACACAAACGTTCCAAGCTGAAGGCGTAAAGCTACCAGCTGTTTTCTCCCTAGGTCCTAAACTAAGTCTGACAGTTTGTTTAGTGTTTAGCAAGATGACTGACGTGCCAGGTCACACACAAACGTTCCAAGCTGAAGGCGTAAAGCTACCAGCTGTTTTCTCCCTAGGTCCTAAACTAAGTCTGACAGTTTGTTTAGTGTTTAGCAAGATGACTGACTTACCAGGTCACACAGAAACGTTCCAAGCTGAAGGCGTAGAGCTGCCAGCTGTTTTCTCCCTAGGTCCTAAACTAGGTCTGACACTTTATTTGCAAAAGTGCAGCAGTTTCCCTATGGACGATTTTTCCGGTTTTACTTCTACGCTGCTGCTCTCCTTCTGCCATGCTATGCTTACCTAGGCAAACTCACTAAGGCACCAGCAAATGTGAAAAAGTGGGAGGAGATTAGAGCCAAGAGACGCTACACATACTTCGACCTGCCTCATGACTAGAACTCATCTGCTTCGCTCTGGGTACAAACTACATGTGCAGAATGAGCTTAACATGTGATGTCACCACCCAGCACATAAATTAATTAGCCTTGAATAGTTATAGTTTGTCGTGCACTGATTGATTGTCTGTTTATGTTCCTCAGTATAAAATTGCTAGTTTAATAAATGTAAGAACCTTCTTGTAAAAAAAAAAAAAGATGACTGACAGTTTGTTTACTCAGCTAATTCGGGTTTGCTGACATCGGATCTGTGGGTGTAAAAAACGCAGATGTCGCAACCTTGGTGTAAACCACAAAGCAACGCGCCAACTGCTCTTGTGAAAGCAGAAGTAGTGGCGAAGTGGTCAACCGTTTGTCTCGCGCCCTGAAGCTCGTGGGTTTGTTTCACAGCTGCGCCATTCAGTTCACGAGTGCAATTTTTATGGGAAATCTCTGAGGGATCATCACCGCAGCTACGGAGTTCGTACTTGATTAATGCTCTCGGCAGGTGACTAACCGTTCTGCAGAGTAAGACCAAGACGTATGGGATAAAACCCGGTGCAATTAAGTTGATCCTCTTCACTTTAACTGTGACTGTAGCAGCAGAAGAGGAAGTCGTAGCAGCTGTAGTAGTAGTAGTAGTAGCAGCAACAGTAGTAGTAACAGCAGCAGTAGCAGTAGTTATATATACTGAAGTATTTTAATGTTCCTTGCCAGATGACGGGTGTGCGTTCTTTCCTGCCCCCAAGCTTCTCCCATTGTATTGTCATCCCTATGTTTTCCTGCCAAAAGTACTCATCAACGACTGGGACGGGATACATTGCAAAATTCCCACATCATAGAGTGATCACTGCTTGTTCTCTGACCTCTCCTGATCTTGTTTGTATTGTGCCGTTGCTTTTTTCTCCTCGTCATTTGCGTTTGTTTAAGCAACCCGCTTGGGCTGCTCTCTTATCTCGGTTTGTGGCGGAAAATCTGGGTGGTACTTCGCGTCAGAATAAATAAGAGACCCGGGTAAACAGTGGCAGGAACTCATTCTGGCTGAAAGTACGTTTGGTATATACAGGAGATCTTTGTTCTGAAAAACAGTACGTGAGGCTTTGTATAATTAATGGCACGCATAACAGAATGGAGGTTCAACAATTAGAAGAAATAAATGCAGGATAAAATGCTTATTATGATTCTTGCCTCATATGCTGTTCGTACATCACAAATGATGAAGAATACCTTTCACCTAAAGCAGTTATGTGGCTGATTAGTCCAATATGAGCCCTGACAGTTCTTGAGCAGTGCGGACAACAGATGGAAGCCGCATTAAGTGTGGGTATTAGCAATACAGTTCTTTCTAGTCTGCCTCCGTTTCTCTGCCTTTGCAACCTCCGATGCACCATGCCTGAGGGATTTACGCTATCCAGAACAGTGCTGTGCAACAGCCTCTCATGCTGCTGTGTTGATGCCACAAGAGTGTAGATCAGTTTTGAGAGTCTGTAGCGCTTTTTCTGCCCTTCCTGGGACCGCTTCCCTTGCTTGAGCTCCCCATAAAATACACTCTTTGGAAGGCATGCTCGCATAATTGGATGAAAGGACTTGCGCAAGGACTTGTGAGGAAGATTTGCGCAATACGTCGACCTCACTCCATCGCCTGTGTCCCCCTTGATCCGATGGCAGGATAGTGTCGAGACGATTGAAAATGGGCCAAGCTGCAGTGGATGACCAAGCCGTCTTGCATCATATACCCAGCACGCCATGGTTGTGAAAAGGACCTCATGCTAAATTACTGTTGTTTTTCTCTTTCCGTTCCTAAATTTAGTTATTTTTTAAAGTCTTTACGTCTTATAAATTTTCATAGTTGATGTTCAACAGGCTAAAAAATCACCCTGATTACTCGCAATGCCATCGCTATTAAAGAAATTTTATTGACAGCGGAAGGGGCCTTTGGGAAGGCCAGATTTCGCAGTATGCTTAGACCGAACTTGGACAGCATTAAATGTGATTGTTGGCATTTGAGAGGAAGATGCAGTCACACATCACGCTTTGCGTGGGGCTGAAAACGTTAAATATTTTTTTTTTCTCGTTCTGTTGATGTGCCCCGGTGCAGTGTTTTAGCTGCCGGCTAATACCGGGTACCTAAACCTCTTTACATTAGCCACCCATCCAAATCTGACGGGTTTAATTCACAGCCTCTCAGTTGAAGAACATGGGCTAGTTGATGAAATGTTCAAAAAGAAATGGGAATTCGTTTATTTGGTTTCTATTCTATAAGGCAAGAATGGAAATTTATGGGAGATAAAGGTGCTTGGTTTGATATTGACATGTTACACGTCGAGTTCCATCTGTCTATAAACAGAGATAGCACCATATATTGACATTGACCTTATGTCATGAAGTTAAATCCATGTTCCATCAATAACCTTGTTTAATTGCAGTCTTCTGTTCCTTATAAACAGTGAATATTTGACAGAGAGAGAGAGAGAGAGAGAGAGAGAGAGTGTGTGTTCAGTAAGCTCTAGTCGGGGGCCCTAAAAATAAATTGCGAGTTGAACCGGGTTTCTGGAACTTGTACCCGGGTGATTTTCATCCGAATGGTGGCAGTTTGTACCGTCCTGATCGGGTTAAACGTCAGTCAGAAGGAAAGATCAGGAGAGTAGTAGAAAGGGAGTTAGCAGAATATGAGAGTTATGTGGAAATAGGAATCAGGACGAGAGAGGAGAAGGATGGGGTAGTATCTGACTTGTCCGGATAACTTGAGATCAGAAGAAGCAACCAACACACACACACACACACACACACACACACACACACACACATGTAATGAGCGTAATTAATTCTGGGAATCAGGGGCGGCGAATTAATTATACTCTCGTCCTTACACAGAGCAGAGATGAAAAACTGTCTTGAGTACCGCTGAACAGCTGAGAAACACGTGACGCTGATTACAGACGAGACAAGACTCTTTATACCCTCGTCGAACATGTTGAAAAGCTGCCAGCGTTTGAATGCTGCCGATAGGCTATTGACCGAGCCACCCCTCGAGTCTTGCAGCACCCAAGGACAGGGGGGGGGGGGGTGTTTCGGCGCGACCTAGAATCTGCTGCTTTTGTTGAAAGACGTCGTCAACGGAAGTAATTGCATAATGTCTTTTGTTTGGATAAATCGGCGAGGAATCGCATTGAGCTGTCTTAGTATATTCATATCATTCATTATTTTGTCATTTAATTTCTTCCTATATGTCGCGCGTATAATGGCTTTGAAGTTGCTGTTGTTCCTTTGACAAAACCCAGAAGTGTTTCTGTATTCTTGTTGGTTTTCAATGCCACGACTGGTTTCGTTTACTTGTGCATCTTCGATTCTGCTGCTGCTATTTATATTAAGATGGACTTATACACCAGCAGTAGTGGTTTATCGCGGGAGATACCTCTGGTTTATGCAGGTAAATTATGGCTATGTTGGGACCATATTTTCGGACACAACGTCTAAATAAATAATACACACTAAGACAGTAGTAATACATGGAACGAGCGTTAAATCATGTATATTCGAAAACATTTGGCTATGTAAATTTATGAATTCTGGCTATAACCTTTCCATCTAACGTTATATTATGCTACAGGGGGGGGGGGGGGGGGGGCATTACTTCTACCTGTCACATATCACTCCTGTCGCGTGCCTAATGTAAGGATTTCTCCTTCAGAACCAGCAGCACTCAAGAGATAATTATGTTGAGTCGTTTGGCTCGTATTGGTCTAAGGGATTCCCCGTGGCCAATATACGATCAACTTATCTCTGGAGTAGGGCAACTCAAGTATTGGCACTACAAAATATGTCAGTATATATATATAATATTTCTAGGCACACTTGGCTGGACACCCGCACTACTTACTAAAGAAAGCCCCCAGGTTATGATAGTTCATTATCATAACCATGTTAACACATATAATGAAGATACACATACATACACAACTGCTAAACACTTAAAAAGGTGAAATAGAGACACCTAAGTCAGCCATGAAAATGAATGTATGTAATCAATATAAATTAGATATATAAAAGTGAGACAAATGCCAGATCTCAGGATATCATGTCCAAATCACTAAGAGACTACACAGACAGAAGGTCTTGGAGATGACATCTTCTCATCACTGGACACAAGGAGCTGTGAGGAACACAACATCATGCGAAGCATTAGACTTATCTTCTCTTCTCTCTGTCTATGATGCCTCCCTCAGCTCCGGATGATTTGACTGTCTTTGACTCTGGGAATTCTGCTCCACTGGATCAAGTAGTAAGAGTACTTCACTATATAAGATGTAGCAACTGTACTGGTATCTAGCAAGTCTCTATCACCAGTAAGGACACACAATGTCTTTGAGCCACATTAAGCTCTAGCACTGGTAGCTGTTTGAGGCACACTCTCCCACATTTTGGAGATGTCAGGAAACTTCACAGGTGTTAGCTGGTGGGTAACAAGTTGTTTCTGGTGGTTTGATGGTTGGTGGATGTTGGTGAGACTGTGAATCTTCTGCCAGCTCTTCAGAAAATATACATCCTGTCAAGAAAATAACTCAACATTAGTCATCATCAAGAGGGTAACATCTTGACAGGAAAGACAGAGCAAGCATCAGTCATCAACCCCCATCTGCTGACTCCTCCCTGCTCTCCTGTTTCATTCCTCAGATTGCCTCTCCAGACCAAAAGACATAAGTCTCCTATATTTATCTGTCTGTTTAGTGCAAGAGAAGGCAAGTCAGATATACAGTGGAGATAGATAAAGTGGTCTAACACATATATCACTCTCCCTATCCCTCTCACTCTGCACACAAACACCAATATTTACCGTCAGTACCTGCATTCCCTAGCTTTCCCAACCGCCCCAGCACTCATTGATCTGGGTCAAACACACACATACTTTGATTAACACAGCCCTGACCCAATTCTGTCCCCATTTCGTATGTACAGATTCTGTAAGTAGTTTAAAACGTACACAATTGTAAGGGCATTAAATGTTTATCAGTATGGGTGGTT